CGACAGGGGAGTAGGCGTACATAAAGAGGATATTTCACCTTCCTATGCATCTCCTCCACCGTCAAATCCACTTCCCCTTCCCATCCTCTCCTTATAAGAGAAGGGTGGTAAAGAGAGAGGAACTTAAATTAGGCCTCGGAAACACGGAATTGCTTCCATTTCACGCCTGTCTTCTGTGTGGTCGTGGTATTACTGGGGGCGTGCCGGTCCTGCAATACTAAGATGTTAAAGCGGGCACTACTGTGAAATGATAATGTAGAGGAGATTATGTACTTTCTCTTACCTATTGACACGAGCTCTGAATCCTGCCATATCCTGACAAAGAAGAAGTCTCCAATGGCAACTATCCTCTCCCTCTTGCCTGACAATCGAAGTGCCTTGTAGAATGTATACTGTCCATGTTGACCGCAAGGTGCACCCACCAGCTGAAAAAGAAGACAAATTAGAGGGAGAAAGCGATTACTAACCATACTAGCTGTTGCTCTCGATTTTGCCCGCGTGAAATTACAAAATAACAAAAAAACGTAGCCTATGTTAATCACTGATAAGGTAGCTTTTTATTGTTGTAAGAATTTTTCAAATCGGCCTAGTAGTTTTTGAGTTATTTCAATACATATAAACATTTCCTCTATCTAATACTAGTATAGCCTATTTTTGTATGTATTGAAATAACTCAAAAACTACTGTGCCGATTTTGAAAATTCTTACACCATTAATAAGCTATATCAGTGAGTAACATAGGCTGTGTTTTTTATTATTTTTTTAATTCAACGAGGACTAAGTAGCGAGCAGTATAGTCCAGAGTCTATTGTTTAGTTGAACTGAAGGTGTTCAAACTTCAATTTTGAATTTAGAACGACTAGTACTACATTAAATAAATCCATAATCCAACCCATACCAAACCAATCAAATCCATTAGTCACCATTAAATTATTTATAGTTTTTACGTTGGCAGTACTGTCGCGTAGGATCGATAACTAAAATGAAACCGAGAGACTTAGTATACGAGATAGAGCGAGACAAACATATGATATTTACACGCTACGGATACGACACGATTTCGAGAAACGACTTTACTAATATGATAAAACGAACACTAATTTGTACGATGTCAAAGTAGAATATTTTTTAATAATATTTTTAATTAAAAGTCTAACACTTACGACAAGCGATAAGATATACATTTTCACGCCATTAAACTTAGGGGGTAAAATAATTGGAAAAAATATTCGGGAAAGGGACAAAAAGCTGACATCAAAGAAGCAAGATTGCTGGTAACGGTAATTGTTATCCAATGTCAAAGATCTTCGTTGTAATTTGAGCATTATATTCATACTAATATTAAAAATGCCAAAGTTTAGATGGATGGATGTTTGTCAGAGTTTGTAGCCTAAACGACTGAACGGATTTCGATGAAATTTGGTATAGATATAGAGGATAGTCTGGAAGAACACTTAAGCCACTTGCTTTTGTTTCTTTTTATTCCGCGTGAAAGGAGTCGCGGGCGAAAGCTATTTTTGAATAAGAGAATAAAATAAAGTTTTTATAATTTCATGTGGATAAAGCCATACGGGAACAGCTAGTCCGAGAAAAATCCCAAATCCAATATTCATGTTTAGTTAAATGAGTTACTTGAGTCGCTCACCGTACATAGGGGAATAATAAAAACAATAACATTGTCAACACTCTACCACTCAAGTACATACCTCGCTTCATGACACGTCACCAATTGGATTTAACCATCTTGATACTTAAAAGGTATTTTATTTTATTTTATTTTATATTTATCATTACCTTTATGTCGTATTTTCATTATTAGTGAAATAAAAACATCTTTACTTGGGAAATAGAACGATACTATAGCTTTAATTTAAAAAAAAAAAACTTATCAAAGACAAAAAAGGGTAAAAACGGAATAAACAATGTAAAGCGTACAATTTTTGAGAACTTCAACATCAGAGCAAAAGATTCTAATTAACGATTAATAGGCTACACCTATGAGCTGTAAACTCAAGCCCGTAACCTAAAGGGGTAGGTAGATATTACTTCCATTCAGTTCTTGCACGATCTAAAAATCAAACAAAACCAAAAATTTATTTTTTTCTCGGCAATTTTCTTTGTCATTAGTTTTAATTACGTAATAACAGTAAAATTTTAATTTTTCTTGTCTGTCTTTTTGTTCAAATGTATTTATTATGTTGCAATGTGTTTTTGACCTGATTAAATATTTATTACTAGCTGTTGCTCACGACTTCGCCCCGTGAATTTAGGAATATTAAAAACCTATGACACTCAGTGATAACATAGCTTTTTAATGGTGCAAGAGTTTTTGAAATCGGCCCAGTAGTGTTAGAGTTACTTCAATACATACAAAAATACAAATCTTTCCTCTTTATAATAATAGTGTAGATTATTAAAAAAATACAAGTGCACTTAGCAATTACATCCTCGATATAATTTAATATTCAGGTATCAAGATTATTCGTGCAGTGTAAATGGACGCGGTCAGAACGTCATCGGCCGCATATAGACTGTCCGTGCGGTCGCCGAGGCATTATTGGGGTTCCTTGTTGAATGAACCATAACTAGAAATACTTTAAAGAGTTTTTAAAAGTAATAAGAGTGTTGTTGTAATTAATTTTATTATTTAATATTACTCACAGATAATAACATTTCTAACCTTTCTAATTCATACAAAAATTCAAATCTTTCTTCTGTATAATATTAGTATCGAACTATTGTTCTCAACTTCGTCATCGTTATTTAAAAAAAATAGTAAAACCATAGCCAATGTTACTCAGGGATAACATAGCTTTTTAATAGTCCAAGAATTTTTTAAATCGGTTCAGTAGTTTTTGAGTTATTTCATTGCATATGAAATTTTAGTCCCTTTACCTTTCCACCCTTTTCTTAAGAGGAAAGGATGGGAAGGAAAAGTGGATTTGACGGTGGAGACACATAGGCAGGGGAAATGTCATTTTTTTATGTGCGTCTCCGTCACTGAAGGGTAGGCAACGCGACAATTGCGGATGTCTATGGGCAGCGGTCGCTTTCCATTTCGGTGGATTCAGGTGGCCGCTTGCTCGTTTGCCACCTTACATTATAAAAAATACAAATCTTTCCTCTAGAACATTACTATAGATTTGTTTAGACAAATGGTTAACTAGAAACAAAGGAATGA